ATCAGTTGTTACATCAACCAGAGGGTGATGATGGAATCCCCACGATATGCTATTGTGGTGCTCAGCCTGTTCTCGGATGCTCATACAATCGTAAAGACCCATACAGAAGGTACTTCACTTGCGAGAACGTGGATGATGGGGACTGCCACATCTGGAAATGGTGGGATGTGGCTGTCGCAGAGGAGATGTCTGAGTTTCAGAGACAACTCCGGCAGCTAAAGGAACAATCTTTTGAGTGTGATCAGAAGGTGGTTAGGCTACAGAAGAGCGTGTGTGAGTTAAAAAAGAAATCAGATACTGCAAACGGCTTTGCTTTGACACTTTGCGTACTGGTCTCTGCATTTGTTTTTTTGGGTTTGGCGAATATGTTCCTGACTGGTAAGTATGTCTCTAGTGCTTTTCATTTTTGTTCATCATATTTAGTAAAACAATTTGACTGTTTGATCTCATGTTGTTGCAGGAAGAGATTCAAAGAAGTAACCCATTGCGTACTCAAGGTCTTGACTGTTTGATCTCCAATTAGGTACGAGTACTACATCCTTCTACTCTCTTTTCATTGAATTAATAAAAATAAATATGACTATAATTGAATTCTTGCGAACATCAAAACAAAATTGATTTAATAAACAGATATATGTAATGTATTTTCTTTGTTTAATAAAACCATAAAATTTTAAACATTTAAACTACTAAAACTACTTAAAACATTTAAACTACTTAAACATTTAAACGACTTAAACATTTAAACGACTTGAACACTTAAACAACTTAACATTTGTACTTGCATTGTTCTTTCTATCTTCCCACCGGCTCTGATTTGATTGCTGTTTAATGGACCTAGTTAACTTTCTATCTACCCAGTTAACTTTCTATCTACCTAGTTAACTTTCTATCTACCTAACTGCTCGTTTTTGGTTGCTTTAAATGTTTACTTCTTGCCTACTTAAGTTTCTATGTTTCTATTAGAGAGACACAGACCAAGCAATTAACATGGATAATAATCAAAGTTACGTAAACCTTTTGTTTAGTCAATCTCAAAATCATGTTGATCTTGATTCACCTGAACCGTTTTGGTTCGGTAGTCAAGGTCCTAGTGAGACTGTTGTCGAGCCTGTTGTCGAGGCTGGTGTCGAGGCTGGTGTTGACAATGGTGTTGACACTGGTGGGAAGGAGAGGAGGAAGTGGTCTCCGAGGGAGGACAAAATCCTTATTGGTGCGTGGCTCAACACCAGTAAGGACCCTGTCATCAACAATGAGTAGAAAGCTGGTGCTTTCTGGAAGCGCATTGTGGAATACTACAATGCAAGCCCGCAACTTGTTGGAAGTGTACCGAGAGAGCTTGGTTCCTGCAAGCAGAGGTGGGGTCGGATCAACTCTGAGGTATCTAAGTTTGCCGGATGCTATGACGCGGCTCTAAGGGACCAGAGAAGTGGCGAAAATGATGATACTGTGATGAGTGCTGCCATAGACATCTTCTTCCGTACTACCAAGGTCAAGTTCGGCATGGAGCACTGCTGGAGGGAGATGAGGCATGACCAGAAATGGTGCGCTACCTATGGGCCTAAGGAGAAGGAGAAGAAGAAGAAGAAGAGTGGTAGAGAAGAGGAGTTGCAGGATGATGGAGAAGATGAGAGTAGACCTCCCGGTGTAAAGGCTGCGAAAGGTGGTGGTAAGAAGAAGAAGAAGAGGAGTTGGCAAAGCTTCAGGGGGTTTTAGAAGTTAAAGAAAGACTCTGTAGACATAAGCTTCTTGAACGTTTACTTGCGTCTAAAGAGCCTCTGTGTGAAGTGGAAACAAGTCTGAAACTCAAACTAATGTCTGAAATGATTTGATATATTAATCTTGTGGTAATGTCTTTATCTTGTTTTGATTAGTTGTGGCTCTGAATGTTTACTAACCGTTGTCTTGTTTCCCTTGTGTCAGGTACTTTTCAGTAGGCATGTGAAGAAGTCACGGGTTGTGTGGAAGCATTTTGGTATGTAGCTCAAGTCACGGGTAGTGTGGAAGTATTTTGGTATGTAGCTCAAGTCACGGAGAGGTTCTTTTCCCTCAGCTTTTCCCTCATGTATTATAAGTAGTACTGAACTTAATTCAGCTTTGTATCTCGGAGAGGTTCTTCTCTTTTGCCTCAAAACTTGTATGTTCTTGTCTAACTCTTGCGTCAAGAACTTGTGTATCTCGGAAGTTGTAATCTTGCCTCAAAACCTTGTAATATTCTGCTACTTATGTTGGGTAATATTCTGAAACAAGTTTTATGTTTCTGTTTTATGTTTGTGTTGATGTTTAAGTACTTGTGTTTATCATCTTTCCGTTTATGTTTACTCTTGAACAAGTGCATACTGTTAAAATTTCAGTTTATGTTTGCATACTGTCAACACTGTCTTGATGTCTATCTTGATGTCTATCTTGATGTCTTTACAAATCGATGTAACAATTCCAGTAGAATCTAACTTACACAATCCATGTGAACTTGAGAAAGGCAGGTTAACAATTCACAAAGACAGGTTCACAAGACAAACATCAACAAGGGTTTGGTCTAAAACATCACCAAGTTCCAAAACGGTTAGCAAAAACCAAACTCGTTTTCTTTTTTTTTGAACTTTATAATTTGGTAAATGTATATACACTGGTCAAAACCTTATAAAAAATGATGAGTTATCAATTGAAAGAAAGAGTTATCAAAAGTAGACATTAGATAAAGAAGAAGAGTTATCAATTTAAAAATTTTCAAAAGATGAGTTATCAATTTAAAAATTTTGAAAAGATGAATTATCAATTTAAAAAAAGAGTTATCAAAATTATACATTAGATAAACAAGAAACGTTATCAATTTAAAAATTTTCAAAAGATGAGTTATCAATTTAAAAATTTGAAAAGATGAATTATCAATTTAAAGAAAGAGTTATCAAAATTAGACATTAGATAAACAAGAAGAGTTATCAATTTAAAAATTTACAAAAGATGAGTTATCAATTTAAAATTTTTGAAAAGATGAGTTAAGATGAGTTAGCAATTTAAAAATTTCGAAAATTTTCAAAATTAATAATATTTTCTTTTTCAAAAGGAGGGATACCTACAATGTCATCATCATCATCCGATGGGCTCGATGAAAGATTGGAGGAAATTTTCGACGGAATCGTCGAAGAAACATACGACGACATAGTGGAGGTCCAAACAAGTAAGCAAAATAGACGTGCTTATATTGAACGAGAGCGTGAAGCAGGACACCACCGTTTATGGAATGACTACTTCAGCGATGACTCAACATTCTCAACACATTTATTCAGACGACGTTTCCGCATGAATAAGGATTTATTCATGCGTATTGTCCATGACCTCTCAGAGAACGTTCTGTTCTTTCAACAGAGACGAGATGCTACTGGGAGGTTTGGTCTTTCTTCACTACAAAAATGTACGGCAGCAATCCGTCAGCTTGCTTATGGTTCTGCGGCTGACACGGTTGACGAGTATCTCCGTCTTGGTGCGAGCACAGCACTTGTGTGTTTACATAAGTTCACTGATGGGATAATCCAGTTATTCGGAGATGAGTATCTACGACGACCCACAGCAGATGATCTTCAACGACTACTTGATATTGGAGAGAAACGCAGGTTTCCTGGAATGGTCGGGAGCATTGACTGCATGCATTGGGAGTGGAAGAATTGCCCAACCGCTTGGAAAGGACAGTATGCACGTGGATCAGGAAAATCGACAATTGTCTTAGAGGCTGTCGCTTCACAAGATCTTTGGATATGGCATGCATTTTTTGGTCCTCCCGGTACCTTAAATGATATCAATGTCCTCGATCGGTCTCCTGTGTTTGATGATATTTTAGAAGGTCGAGCTCCCAAGGTAAGGTACGTGGTCAACGGACACACGTATAAGTTGGCATATTACCTCACAGACGGTATATATCCAAAATGGTTAACATTTATTCAATCTATCACACTCCCTCAATGTCCTAAACAAGAGTTATTTGCTAAACATCAAGAAGCAACAAGAAAAGATGTAGAGCGGGCTTTTGGAGTATTGCAAGCTCGATTTGCGATTGTCAGAAACCCGGTCAAAACATTGGAAAAAGAAAAGATAGGGAAGATAATGAGAGCATGTATCATACTACACAATATGATAGTTGAAAATGAACGAGATGGATACATAGGGTACGATATTTCAGAATTTGAAGAAGGTAACGTCGCTAGAAGTTCACAGGTGGAAACCGAGATGCCAACAAATATGAATAATATGTTTCCCAATCGGAATGATCTTCGTGATAAGAGTGTGCATGAACGATTGAAGAACGATTTAATCAAAAATATTTGGAACAAATTTAATGATGAAGATTAATAATTAGTGTATTTCTATATTTAATCATTGTATCTTTGTTTTTAATCATGCAATTAATAAAATTTCAATTTCCAATTTCAAAATAAATTTTTTCTAAAAAAATTATTTTTTAATTTTAAGAACTCCATCGTCGGGTTTACCATTGGACGACCTATTTTGATTCGAATCCTTAACTATTAAAAAAAAAAAAAACTAAAATAAACCTAAGGACTCCAAGGTGGAGTACACCATTGCACATGCTCTAAGGCATGTTTACATGCACCACAAGACTGTCACTCGAGTCCTTGACTAATCTCGTCAATCAGCTATTTCTTTCTATTTTCTGATTCCTATAATAAGATTGACAACATAAGAAGACATCGATATGACTAAATTAGTTTTATATGAGGCTGGCTCTATGATGCTTGACCAGTTCTTATAGTTCCGGTTGTTGTCCGGCATTTGGCAAATGCTTCCAGTTTCAAGTTAAACCAGGACGGTTATTGTTAAATTAATTCTCGGTTCAACTAAACCGATTCCGGTCGAGAGAACGTGGCAATGATTGTCAGTTGTCTACCTCCTTCCTCTCTTTTAAAACACACTTCATCCCTTCTCCTTTCTCCTAGCTCTTTCTCTCACACATCTTCACAAAAGCTTAACTATTCTTCTAAACAGATATGGAGACTTGGGAGAAGCCAAGAGTTTCATCTTCTAGAGATCATCATTACCGTCAACCTTCCTTCTCCTCCACTCTCCTCGACCAAATCTACCGCTCCATAGACGACTCTCCTCCCCTAGAATCCACTAGAAAGAAGAAACAACCACACTCTCTCCACCATGAACATGCTCCAATCTTTCACCGCCGCTCCATCGCCGCTGAATTGGAGAGATCACGGCGAACCAACACCTCCTCCTCCTCAGTTTTCCTCAGATATTCCAACTCAAGCTCCTCTGACTCAAGCGGGTTCTCCTCCTCAGAGTCAAACTCTTTTTACCTACGCTCAAAACCCTCTTCCTCTCCTCCTCCACACACACGTCAACCAAACCCTATTCGAACCTCGGCCATCGAGAAACCTAGCAGCAAACAAGAGCACGGTAGTTTCTTGAGAACAAAGTCAAAGGCGTTAAAGATCTACACCGACTTGAAAAAAGTGAAACAACCTCTCTAACCTGGAGGACGTCTCGCTACTTTCCTCAAGTCTCTCTTCACCAACGCAGCAAGCAACCATAAAAAGCTAAAGAAAATAAACACCACCGTCTCTTCCTCGGCCGAGCAGCAGCCACCACCACAATCCTCCTCCAACACCACATGCTCCTCCACGAATTTACACCACATGCTCCTCCACGAATTTATAAATGTCACAAAGTACAAGTCGCTCGACTGTAGCGAACAATCCTTACAAGATACAATTGAGTACTCATAAACGTAAGCAAAACTAACATATCATGTGGGAGTTGACAGTAGAAATCAATGCTACGTCAGCTAAACAAGCATGCATGGCTATAATATGCATATAAGGTTTTCAAATAATTCCGAGATGCTCTTCTTCTTAGTACCAAATGTGTAAAGAGATACTAATAATTATATTACGATAGAATACTCGAAACTACAAGAAAGTAGTTTACTAATAAAAATTTGATATATCAAGTATACATATGCATGATTAAAGCCTTATCTTCTTAATCTTATTTAAAAATATATTATTATGAATAATTATAAATTTAGAATGAAGGACCATTATTTTAGGTAACTCCTTCGATCGTAGTCCAAACTAGGAACTTGTCGCCACAATCTAGGAAACTTTAGATAGAGCTCGTTGGTTCTAACTTTATTAGATGTCTGTCTTCTTTCAGTACCTAACTCTTATTTCCCCCCAAAAAATAAAGATAATTCTCTTTATATATTAGCCAAATTTAGTACTTTTATTAGTTAAGAAACTAAAGAAGATTTGTTTACTTCATTTCATCAAGCTGATATTGTGGGCCATCTGTAATTCGATTATAGTTGTAAAAGAAAAGGACATCAAAACTGTTCAAACCTTTCCAATGTTTTATAAATACAGACCCTTCTCGAGTCATTAACCAATCAAAACAATGGATCTATTACTTCCACACCCATCAAACTCAACTCCACTCACTGTCCTTAGCTTCTTAGACAGAGCCGCCTCCGTCTATGGCAACTGTCCATCCATCCTCCACACCACAAACACCGTCCACACTTGGTCCGAAACCCACGACCGCGGTCTCCGAATAGCATCGGCTCTCACTACCTCTTCCCTTGGCATCGACCAAGGACAAGTCGTCTCTGTCGTGGACCCCAACGGCCCATCCGTCTATGAGCTTCAGTTTGCTGTCCCAATGTCCGGAGCATTTTAAACAACATCAACCCTCGCTTAGACGCACATGCACTCTCTGTCCTCCTACGTCACAGTGAATCCAAGCTCGTTTTTGTCGACCACAGTTCCATATCACTTGTCCTTGAAGCAGTCTCGTTCTTGGGACAACATGATAAGCCTCACCTCGTCCTCCTCAACGATGATGATGATTTTTCCTCTGCTTCAGCCGCATCAGATTTTCTTGACACGTACGAAGGGATCATGGAGAGAGGAGATTCAAGATTCAAGTGGATCCGTCCACAAACTGAGTGGAAACCGATGGTGCTCAACTACTGAAACAAAAGATTTTTAATTTAAAATAATAAAGGTTTTTAGTAATAAAACTCCTCAACTAAAGATGTATCGTAAAAAACTCTCAATTAAAGATTGGGAGAAAAACTAGAATGACTCAAATTAATGGTGTTATTACTAGAATGACTCATATTTTTTTCAGAATTATTAGAATGTTTTTCTTGTCAAAATTGCCCTTGGCTATAGTTATAAAAAAAAAAGAAATTTATTTTTTTTAGGTCGTCGGCAGATTTATTTAAATCTATCGCACGATAGAGTTTTTAAATATGTCTATCGGATGACACAATAGATTTGTCTATATTTTGCTCGATTTGTAAAGAAAACCGATTTTTTAAATATGTCTGTCAGATGATACAACAGATTTGTAAGAAACCACAGATTTTTTGCGATCGACTTATTCTCTTATGGCAGACTTGTTGAATTACGACCGATTTGTATGAAAACTCGATTCTTATTATGGTAGACTTAAGGTAAATCTACCACCGATTTACAAATGCTACAGACTTGTTGAATTACGACACGGTCGACTTGTTAGTTTACGTTGTGACAGATTTGTTTAGTTAATTCTCGGTTTAGTAAACCAATCTAAATTAAATTCGGATTGAATTCCGGTTTAGTTTAATTAATCCGAAATTCAATTAATACGAAATTGGTCTGGTCAGAATTTGGTTTAATTAGATTTTTGTTTATTTCTAGTGGTTTAAGACCACAATTAGGTCTAATTTATTTGTCGCAACTGTCGTCATCTTTTTATCCCTATTTTCTTCCTTATCAAGTTGTCCCTTTCATGGTGGTTTGAACTATTGCGTCAATCCTTTTTGCTTACAGGATCATGGATCACATCATTCTCGTCTGTAGGAAGTGAAAATTCGAAAGAAAGAAGTGGTTATTTGAAGTTGACAATGAAAAAGGTAGTAAATTACTCACAGCTAACTTAACTTTACAAACAAAAAATATAAACAATATTAAGTCAGAGAGTTAGATTTGTTTTTTTTTGTGTATAAACGAATAATTGAATATTATAATGTTCTGACTGATGAGAAGTAGCTTAGATTTATAAGTATTACAGTGAAATAAGAAAATATTATTACGCAAGAAGGTAACAAGTTGTATAACCTCTGCTCCTCCACAAGTATCAGAAACTCACCGTAATCTAAAGACTCCGGTGAAAATAAAATTACAGTGACTTGAGTGCCACCTTAATATTTCCTTATTTTATTTTGAAAAATCAAAATATATTACAAAAAATAAAAAAATGAAAATATATATAGAACACAAACAAACATAACAGCTGGAGACTGAGATGGAGAAGAAGCATCAAACCAATCTCTCATCAATTTCAAGCAAGGTTGATTGTGAAGGAGACATAAGGATGTGTCTCTGAGCCACCTGCTAAACAAGCCATGGCAGCTCCTCCATCCTCCTCACTTTTCCAGTATAAACTGCACTATTATTTCAAACAATTAGACTCAAACATTCAGCTTCCATGTAACCTATGCTCAGAGCGATAAAGCAAAGACTTTAAAATACCTATTGGTAGAATCACACGTGCATTCAAGTATGGAGTGTACTTTCTTTCACTCTTCACAGCCGAAGATAAGACATGCCTGGAAAAATAACTCATTGGCAAGAGAAAGTAGTTTGGTCAGGGAGTTAACAAGGGTGAGGAATTTAATTGAAAAGGATAGCTTGAAGTCTTAATTTACCAAGAACGCTGGAGGTAAACTATATCTCATAATGCTCTCGGCGATTATGCGCACAGCACAAAAATGCATCCAGGAGCTAAAAACCTACACATATAGACTAAACGATCAAAATAGCATAAGAAAACTTACAGGAAAAGAATCAGTCTTGAAATCGAAGGAATATTGAAATTGGGATTTAGGGTTTTCTAAATTAAACAGACAATCAAGTAATGATAATTAAAACAATAATAAAAAAATCTTCCATAACCAAACTTACTGTCAAAAGAACAAGTCTATCGATTTTAAAGTGGAAGGAGGAAGAAATTAAGATTTAGGGTTTTTGAAATTAAACATTCAATCAAGTAATATATGTTAAAAATATGTAGAAACAACTTGGAATTAGATAGATTTAGCACTTACATGTTTAATTTCGTCGATTCAAAATGAAGACAAACCTTCCCAAGGTTTTCATGTGTACAGAGATTCTGAAATTGAAGGGCTGTGATGGAGGAGATGAAGAAATAGAAGGGGCTGTGACGGAGGAGATGTTGTCGGATTGGGATAGGGATGACAGCGACTTTCGATCGGAGATTCTCCAATTTTGGTTTTGTATCTCGCCGCAAGAGAAGACCCCGACAAAAGCTTCTTTTTTTTTTATTAAGACAAAAGCCTTCTTATTTAGTTTTTCTTATAACTATTTTAATTATTTTTTTCCTTTATGTTGATGGCAAATTAAATTAGGGGTTTTTTGGTAACTTTGTGTGTATCTTATTAGAATCTAGTAATTATTTTTTTATATGAGTCATTCTAGTAATTTCAAGATAAATTTGAGTCATTTCAAGTAATTCCTCTTAAAGATTTAATGAAATAAATGTCAACTTTAGTTCCGTTAATGTTTGTCACCCTCTGTCATGGAATTTTAGACGGAGAGTGACATATGTTAACAGAACTAAAGTTGAAGGTTTATTTCCTTAAATTTTTAATTAGTTGAGGTTTTTTTTACTAAATGCGATTAAATACTTTAAAATCTTTATTATCATTTATTCATTATTTAAGAATCTTACAACTGATTTATAAATATTTAAAATAACAATGTTGAATTTCTAAACTAGTTAAATATCCTCAACAATACCTACAACTTTATATAACTTAGAAATCTTAATTATTTGATATTTGATAGTATTAATATAAGAAAAGTTTATGTGTTTTTTCCTTTATAAATCTTTATCGTTTTATTTCGTAATATCAAAAAAAATCATGTATTATTCCATCCTAAGAAATAGCAAACAAAAACTTATAAAATCATTGTTAAACCTTATTAATAGTTTATAAAATATTAAAATATTTACTAAGTTTTATAAATAGGTTAAAATTGATAAAGTAATATATAAAAAATTCTAAATTATTTTAAATATTTATAAATTAATTGTAAGATTCTTAAATAATATATAAATAAAAATAAAGATTTTAAAATATTTAATCGTATTTAGTAATAAAACCCCTCAGCTAAAGATGAAATGTAAAAAGAAAACTCCGACTAAAGATTTAATGAAATAAACCCTCAATTTTAATTCTGGTAATGTATGTCACCATCCGTTTAAAATTTCATGATAGAATGTGACATATTAACAAAACTAAAATTAAAGATTTATTTCAATAAATCTTTAGTTAAGAATTTTTTTTATAATCTACTAGGGTAAACCCGTCCTACGGACGGGCAAATAAATAAGCTAATAATATAAATTTATTTTTAGATTTGATTTATTTTAACTAAAACTAACATTAACCTTCATTAATTATTATAACAGTTTTAACTATTTATTTTACCATACATTTTAAAAATATAATTACAGTAGATTGGAGTTAGAAAAGTAAAATTATTTTTGCTCTCAGTTATATATTTTTTTTCAATGAATTAAATTACTTTTATACATTTTTTCTTAAAACTAATGATATACACAATATTAAAGGAATAACTTATTCATTAAAACTAAAAATATTTTTAGATAAATAGATAATATGAAACTATCATTGCTATTTTACATATACATGTTTGTTATAGATCGATATAATTGATTATAAATTAAAAATATTATCCTTACAATAATTCTATCATACATATTTAAAATATTATATATTTACTGTATTAATTATTTCTTTTGGTAATTAGATATTTATATATTTTAATTTTATATATGCATATTTGAATTATATAAATATACTATTACAGTATAGATGTATAGTAAATGTAGATGATGAAGACGTTTGCTATTGAATTTTCTATTTATTTAAAAAGTAAATTCTTATTTGAAAATATTGTTAAAATAAATTTATTAGATTTATAACTTGTTAGGATATCTGATGGAAAGGCTGTTTTAATTTGTTTTGGGTTTAATTTTGAAGTATAAAATAAAGAATAAAATAATGTATCATTTTTATTTCTGTTTAATTTGGAGGTATTAAAAATTTTCTATTTGTTTTGATTATATAACACCAAAATGGCAAAACTTACTCAACCCGATTTGTTTGACATCACCTACTAAAAATTATGCACGTACGCAATTCAATATACTCCTAACATTTTTGAAGGCATTGATATAATTCTAGAACTTATAATTGAACATTTTTGAAGAGAAGTTGCTATCGTGTAAACACTATAAGTACATCTTTACTTATATGATAGAAAATATAAATATTATTAAAAACACCTATCATAGCATATCTGGTGTTATCGTTTATAACTTAATGTAAAGAGTTTTTTAACATGAAGGCTGGTGATTCATTGTGTCTTGGTGCAGATAATCTGCTGAAATTGTTCTCAGATACAAAAGAAGATCCTGAACTATTTTCTCTTTGAACTGTCTTTAACACCTCATTACTTCTCCAACCACATAGCAAGTAAGTCACTTTTAATAAAGAGTTTATAGAGCAACGTACATTTCATTTCTCGATAAAGGTGTGGATTGAGATGCCTCCACAACGCCCTTTGGAGAGACCTGTAAGCATCAAGAACATAATGGGCTTAGTTTCTGTATGATAATGAGTGAAACACTCTTCAAAGAATACATGCAGAACCTTTTTACTTGATGGTCCCGGAATAAAGTTTTGTGTTTTCCGTCATAATACATCAGATGAGAGATTTCCACCTATCATGGTTTCAGTTATTCTGCTGCTTCGTCTTCTTCCCAATCATCTGAGAACTTCTCAATCTCCTGTCTCAAATTTTGAGTTCATGGTTTATCAAAAAAAACATGAAAATATATACAGCAAAGTTAATTAGTTAAAAGAAGATAGACAATTAAAAATCATCCTAAATTAATATGGTTCAAGGGGTTGTAGATATAAGATTTAGAAAAATACATATAGAAACTATATAATCTATTCAAAACAAAAACATAAATGAAGGACCTGGTTGTTTAGCATCCCTGGTTTGTTCGTAAAGACTACACACTCTCATATTTCTTAGTGTGGGAGAGATATGGATCATGTGCTACTGTTAGAACATCAGGCCTATCTGCTTGGTTATAGTAGACATCAAAATCAGATCCTGCATGAAATGCAACAGCGAGTGAGTGAATGTGATCCTTCGTTGGAACAAAACGATGATGATCTTGGGACTGTGTTCTTGGAGTGGCTAAAGAACAACAAGGAGACTGTTTCTGCTGATGATTTGAGGAAAGTGAAGATAAAGAAAGCTACTATTGAATCAGCGGCCACTAGGTTAGGCGGTGGGAAAGAAGCTATGAAGCAGCTTTTAAAGCTGATTCTTGAATGGGTCAAAACTAATCATCTACAAAGAAGACATACCACCAACAATAATCAACAAGATCCTTTTCAAAGTCCTAACCCTAACAACAACACCAACATTATCCCACCACCGTCTGATCAAACCTGTTTCTCACCATCTACATGGGTTCCTCCACCACATCCAGGTTGCGGATACATGCCTGCTCCGACTTATCCGCCTCAGGAGTATCTTCCTTTACTAGAATCTCCACCGTCATGGCCACCACCACCACCACCACCAGAATCTGGTCCCGTGCCACATCAGCAGTTCACCATGCCAAACTCTCAGTTTAGTCCATGTCAAGAAACCGGAGGATACAATATGAATCCATATCAATATCCTTATGCTCCTTCTGGTCAAATGAGAGATCAGAGACTGCTCCGTTCGTGTTCCTCAACTACTAAAGAGGCTAGAAAAAAACGTATGGCGAGACAGAGGAGGTTCTTGTCTCACCACCATAGACACAACAACAACAACAACAATAATCCGAGCCAGGCTCAACTTGGAGAAAGCTGTGCCACGGTGGCTCCACAACTTAACCCCGTGACTACTACAACAGCTACAGGAGGGACATGGATGTATTGGCCTAATGTCCCTGCCGTACCACCGCCTGGATCAGCTCAGTTTCCAACCATTGACCAGGCTGGCTCTACTTCTGTTATGCCACGTCAGCCGGTACTGCAAGATCGCCGGCAGGTACATGAAAAATCATCCCTTCTAGCGACATGCAAAGAGTAGTGAAATTGCACATGTTATGGTTGATGATGAAGATGTAAATAATGTTTGCGATGGAAATGAAATGATTTTTGATTTTTGGATGTGTTTTAATTTTGTTTGATTTTAGGGATGGAAACCAGAAAAGAACTTGCGGTTTCTATTGCAGAAAGTCTTGAAGCAAAGCGACGTTGGTAACCTTGGAAGAATCGTCTTGCCAAAAGTAATTTACTTCTTGATTTCGTGTAGTTTTTGTTTTCTCTCTTTTCTAATGCTAGTTTCTACTATGTTTCGAGTAAAAATATTTTGGTATTGTTGTTATTTTCTTTTTCACTCTTTCTCCTTAATTTTATTTTACTGAGATAAGATGAAAAATGTAAAAACAGAAAGAAGCTGAGACGCACTCGCCGGAGCTAGAGGCACGAGACGGCATCTCTCTGGCTATGGAAGACATTGGAACCTCTCGTGTTTGGAACATGCGCTATAGGTAACTAAGAAAATCTGTGAACTTGTTAATTTTGATTTTTAAAATTATTATATTTTAGCAAAAGGTTAAATTTTTTATATTTTAATTCATTCTTTACTTGTCATGAATTGGATCTTGACCAGTCTTTGGTAATTCATTAGACTTTCATTAATTGGATGCAGGTTTTGGCCTAACAACAAAAGCAGGATGTATCTTCTCGAGAACACCGGTACAGTTTTGAAAATATAACACCAATTAATAAAAATATTTTTATTTTAAATTTAATCTTATTTTCCCTTGACATTTTACAGGCGATTTTGTCAAAGCAAATGGGCTTCATCAAGAAGGTGATTTCATAGTCATATACTCCGATGTCAAGTGTGGGAAATATGTAAGATAACATTGATCTTCTTTAATTTTCATTATATTCAACTCTCATCATTACTTTTTGGTAACACTAATCTCATAAGTCAATATTATGGGCAGCTCATACGAGGGGTTAAAGTCAGACAACAGGCGGAACAGAAACCAGAGGCTACGCCGTCTTCAGCAGCTGTCCCGAAGAGACAAGGCAAGTCGCAGAGGAGCGTTAGCAACAACTCACCACCGGCAAATATGGTCGCTTCACCAACTTCTCTAGCAGTTAAATGAAGAAGGAAGAACGATGGTATTAATTATTATGTACCAAATAATAAAGAGGCAAAAAAGGAAAGAATTGGGAGCGTACCTGAGTGTGCCACTTCTCGTGCATGCGTGGGATCTCTCGTAGACAAATGGAGGGTCATGATGAGTAAAGTAGTTTTGTCGAGTTCCGGGTTTTTGCTCCATTTTCCTTTCTTTTCTCGAGACATTTATACTCTTTTTTTTTTACCTTCAGAATATTGTAGGGATGGGGTTTGTGTTATATTTAAGGGAGATTTACAGTCCTTTTCGCTGTTGTTGTAAGTTTTTATTTTTACTTATGATGCACTGATCAGCTGACAACGTCCTGTTGTGACTGTTTAGTGCGTATAATGTTGTTAAGGATAATGATATTGTACGTAGTTATCCTCCTGTTAAGTTTGTTATCAATTGAAAGTTAATAGGTTTTTTTCTTTCTTTCTATCGTCAAAATACAGACTTCGTTTCTATCGTCAAAATACAGACGTTTCTATTGTCAAAATATAGACTTTGTTAAGACTCTGTAAATCATTCTGGTAACTTTATATCCATATGAACTATAAAAGTCGTATAGTACATGGCGTTGCGTATTAGACTATTCACCTTTAAATTATGTGTTTTAGGGACGTAAATTATCTCCGAGTGATTGAAATTCCTTTTCAAAATTTGGATGTCTTCTAGGTAGTTTATAAAACCGGCCACTCTGATGATTCTGAAACTAACTTCACCAACTGAAAGTAATCTATTGCAAACGAAATTCCTTTAAAATTTTCATGCCCTCCATCGCCCGGATAAAAACCTCTAGTTATAGGTTAATTTATAGTTTTAGCTATTGACCGGCTAAGCAGTATTAAATTTAGGTCAGTTATTTTTATTCAAAAGTAACCATAATGCAATTTGGTGTCAGTATTTTGTTTCTAAACTAATGTAAATCTATCCAAAAATACTTCAAAATATTTTGAATATTCAAACTAATTAACATATGTTCATATCTTAATTATAATTTTATGTGTTTTGATTACTACAAGTATTACTAATTAAACTAAAATTTTAAAATATAGACTTATATTTTGAGTACTTGTAAGTATAACATCCAGTTATTTACTCTTGTCATTTTAATTCCAACTATGTATATAATAGTCCAAAAATATTTTCAAATATTGATATTGTTTACTTGGGACCAGTTTTGTTCAGTGAAAATATTGATATTGCTTATTTGGGACCTGTTTTGTTCAGTGTTTCTCAGTTTAAATCGATTTCGGTTTGATTTTTTGGATTCGATATCTTTTTGATTAAATTTTATATTGATTATCAAAGAATGAAGGGGCATTTACAAATGAAATTTGAAAATAGAGCAGAAAACTAAAGAAAAATCAAACCATAACTCTTATACTATCTCGTATACACCTCAAACCAGTGACGAAGCAGACCTTCCAGCTTATGGGTGCCTGTGTATTTCAAAGAACTAATCATGTTCTTGAGAGCTTTTATCAACACGCCAAATCATTGTTTCCGTTGTCAGCCAATCTCCCTGATGCCATCGTGAGTTTCTTTCCAGCCAAATTGTAGACACCGTAGTGTGGAAAGCCATCTTAAGCAATATAACATCCATCTTATTACGACACTATCTCCCCAAAGATGCCACCGTAGTAGACTAGTCTGGAGAGGCGGAGGAACCAAACAAATTGACTGTTAATGTGGACCAAATTGTAAAAGTAACTGAGCAGGCAAAGAACAAGTGATCCCTACTCTCTTCTCTTTCCCCATAGATGATACATCCTTATGTGATCCCCCATTTCCTCCTTCAAACATCTGTAGACAGTCTATCTCTAAAATCCAGCCAAACAATGAAAGCCTATCTTGGAACTCTTTGAAGGAACTAGACAATATTGCACCATGTTACCTCATGCCCTCTAACTCGAATCGGATCCCAAGTTCTCGAAGTGGAAAAATGATTCTTATACTCATCGCTATCAAGTCTCCAACGCAAGACATTCCGACCAGTGCCTGAAACTACCTTATCTGCATTCTCAATCTCATCATAAACAGAGCCACATACTCTTCTTCCTCGACTCCTTAGACCCCAACCCTCTTCGGTGCACACATCAGAAACGAGCATCTGGCGAGGAATACCACGATAGATTGGACCCAATTCTCCCGAATTATCTATTATCCTTCCAGTTCCAAGCCAATCATCACACCAGAAATAAGTTGTAGTACCACTCTGCACTTGACTTCTCATGAACTCCACTGTTGTGGTCGCAATTTAAGCAACTTTTTCCAAAGCCATGACCCCTTATTTTTCCCTTTAACATCTCAAAAGGATCCCTTTTTCATCTGTTCAGTATGAGCCCAAGCCACCCATAGAGAACCCGAGAGAGAGAAAAGCTTACATACCATACTCAGCACAAACACTTTGGAGGTTTCTCTAAGATTTTGAATACCCAAAACACCTTCACTCATGGGTAAACATAAATTCTGTCAAGCGACTTTTGCCTTATGATGAGTATTTGGGGAAACCGACCAAAGAAATGGCACTGCATAGACTTTCAATTTCTTCCAAGTAAGCTTTAGGTCTGATGAAAGCAGTGCACCAAAAGTTGATGACATTGGATATAACTGATTTAATCAGCTGAAGTCTACCCGCAAAGGAGAGAGATCTCTGAAACCAAGCCAGCAGCTTACTACGGATTCTGTCTATCAATGGCTCGTAATCGAGTCTCGTCCAAGCTTTAGATGTTAAAAGGAGCCCCAAATATCGGAAGGGCAAGGATCCGACTATGAGTCCTCTAACCTCAGCATCCTGTTGCAACATAAGCTTATTTTGACTTGCGAAATAAATAGAATACTTTCCTGCATTAATATGAAGCCCAGACATCCATCACACTGAGCATTTTATCAAGTTTGGATACGATATTTTACCAAAACTTATTTTATTAACCTTTTAACTTTGGTTTACTAGTAAAGGAACTCCATCTGAAGTTTCCGCCCTGAATTCAAATATAAAGTCTTGTGACATTCGTTTGAGTTTAAAAAATTTTGGGATCCTCATGATTATTAATAACAAAAATATTTTATCATTATTTGTCGAATATCATTCCTTCAGTCATGGTCATGTGTCAGACCAATGTATTAATCCATTTTATATGGGCTAATTACTTTGTGATTCAAAATTATGGATATATATGACAATGATATTCTTATAAATAAGTAGAAATGCTGAGGATAATTATAATTTTTTATTATAATTTTGAAAATAAATTAACAATAGTCTTATTTTTGTAAATATTTGAAAAAATAAAGATTAAATTGGACGACAAAATATGATGGAAAAAGAAGAATATTTGTCTTTAATTTAAAGTTATGGATTACTTTGAAAAAACTCTTTTATTAGGTGTCCTTATAATTAATTTTGACAATGTATATATATATATATATATATATATATATATATATATATATATATATTTGTGAGTTATGGATTACTTTGAAAAAAACTCTTTTATTAAGGTATCCTTATGATTAATTTTGACAATGTATATATGTATATATATATACAAATTTTCTTAAATTTTATCCGAAATTGATGTAAACCTTTCTTGTGTTTGAAATTAAACTACATTCAGTATTTTAACTTAATGATATATATGTTATAATAAAATGAAATTCATGTCACATCTTTTTGGAAATAATGTCATATAAATGTTGGCTTTGAATAGAAGCAGGTCAAGCACTTGCGATCTGGCCACCAAATATTAAGTACTAATTTAGTCGATCTTTTATTTAAACTTCTTTTAGCACACTTGATAAATGTACTTTTACTAGATTAATGAGGTCATGAATTCGAACCAAATATTAAGTACTAATTTTTTTTGGCTTCTAAACTACATATTTGTAGGACCGACTTTGCATATAATGTTTAAACTAGATCATAACCCGCCCGACTGGGCGGGTATTTGTTTTTATGGTATATATAAACATTTCAAAAATTACAATCTAATGGTTCCAATTCGACTAAGTAATAGTACATTATTTAAACATTGTATTTCATCACTGTATTATGTAACAGGGGTGTCGCAAAATATTGTGACCCGTAAACATTTTATTAATAGTTTATAAATATTTTTTTTGCTAAATTTGGTGCAAAATTATATACATTAAAT